CGTCCAGCCCCACTGTGAATGGGGAGAAGTAATTCAATCTATACTGTGATTTGAATTATCGGCCATATTGCTTCGCCATCCCTTCACTTGATCTAATTGAGGGATGCCAACTAGATGAGACTGAGTTCCGTCTAACATGTTAAGGTTGTATCTTCTGTTACAGCTCTGATGCAGCAGTTTTGAATGATTTCTTGTATAAAAGAGGGACAGCTCCCTCTCGCCTCTAATTGATTCGTCGACCAAGAGGTGCATCCCCACACTTGAGTCCTCATCATCTCCCTTCTCGTTACACGTGTTTGTTGTCGTCTCCCGACGTAATGTGTGTTTTGCTGCTGCCTGGCGTATGCGAAGCGTGTCAGAGGACGTTGCGAGAGGTTACTTCGAGTCGCGGGCCATGAGCATAAACATTGTCCCAATGACACAGCGTTCCGCTTTATCAGTTCCATCCTCGACAAATTACTCGGCCTGGCGCTTTCATCTGCGAAGCCGCCATCCTGCGCTTTTGTCGGGGGTAAAGTGCAGCGCGCGGCGACGGCGTGAACAACGTGGGCAACTCGCTTTCGCGTTAGTGGCTTTGTATGCTGGTTGCCGTGGTAACACAAAAAAGGGAGGCCCGACTAGTAGGTCCAGGGTATGCGATAGGCGGATGGCTGCGTTTGGCTCGATGCCGCAGACCTGCGACGTCCTTTCACGACATTAGAGTATTGTTATCGCGGCGGGGGGGGTGAGTCAAAAGCAGGAGCATTAAGCGAGCGTGCACTTACTTCTCCCTTCGCTTTCCTGTCGGCAGGTCGCAACTTGCCCGAGACATTAATTCCTCACGGTCTTAAACGTTACACAATGACACCGATGACTGAATAAATAAATTATCTTGACAAAAGACGCTCAAGATGCTGTGCGGTTGTATTGCCGCGCTGCTTTCCAGTGATCTTTTTGACTTCCCAATGTAACCTTTTGTCATAGTGGCTCCCTCTCACTGACATCTTTTTGGCTTCTTCTCCAAGAGAGTAAAAGTTGGCACAGACTTAGTTGCTGATTCACTGTCAAAGCAGCAAAACGCTGCAGAGCTTGCGTGTCAATCACTGGAAAAATCATCAAGCGGACAGGAACATTTGGCGTGGACGTCTTTTGTGTGAAAAATATGACTATCAATCAAAAGCCGAATATCTTTTGTGGCCGCAACATTTTTGTACTTTTATTGTCCACTTACATCACCACAGAGATTAAGTACGGCTCAAAAGTTTCCACTGAGTGGAGGGGGGTGGGGGGGAAACAACACTTGGTGGTTTAATGTCGTCAAGGGTCATGCATGTTGTTTTGGCCTCTTACTTATTTTCCCCCCCCGGAGCCCATGTTTGGTAACAGGCTGATTCTTTTTGGGGAAAAAAAACAAAAACCTCCACTGTCTCTGAATGCGCTTGTGCGTCATTCAACAGCAAGTGCGTTTATTTGTTTCCGTGCACTGGGGCATCACTGTTCCAGACAGTCTCCGCATCGAGTAATCATATCAGGGTGTTCCAAATATAGTGGGACCCCACCACCGCTTTTGGTGATGCAAACCCAGAAGGAATTTTTGGAGGACAAAGTCAATTCTGATATTGGCAGGGAAAACATTCCTCTCATTGATTGAGTGGTCAATTGATTTCATAAAATATATCATAATGAAAGCAACTTCTTTTTTTGAGGTCCCTTAATGGCCGCTTACGACGACAGAAATATGAATCATGGCCCAGAGCATCTGCCTGTTCTAAAATACTTTTTGCTTCAGTATTTCTTGAATAACGACAGAGCGGAATTAACTGAAAGCATTAACTGATGAATTCATCTTTATCTTTAAGCCGTCGACATAACAGTACTTCGGCAAAATAATGAGTGAAGTTACTGGCAAAATGTGTTCGCATGATTAAAAATAAATGATTATCAATGATTAAAATTTCGAAAAAAATAAAAATAATAAAAAATTGAAATTGCACATCCGGCGAAGACTCTCCATAACCTTCACTGATAACCCAGGTTCAACTAAGGAATGCTTTCTAATTTGACAGAGCTTTGGTCGCCTTTCTATGGCATTTGATGGGGTTTGAAAAAGCATAGTAAGTGTCACCGAATATCTGGGGGTGGCTTTCACAGGGGAAAAAAATGTGAAGAGGTGATTTCATGGATGGTAAAATGTGACTGCGGGGGATTACTGTATACAATTAAAGAGTCATCATAGCATTTTTCCGTTTAAGATTTCCAAGGCCTTGGCGGAGGTCTGCCCTCTGTTGTTTGCCCTCGTTGTATTTCAAAAGTCCAGCCATTGCATTTTGCAATCCTCACATTTTTGCAGCATTAAGTCTTGCAAAAACGATCTGCTTGTTTAATTCACGCCAGTTGGAACTCGCATGATGGTTGAAAGACAGTTTTTTTTTCTTTTCTCCTCCCATTTTTCGTTTTGAGATTAGCGCAAGTGACGCCATCCAATCAAACAGTGTGCGTGCACCAGGTCCATCTGATTAGTCTTGACAGCCTTTGCATAACTAGCTTGACTGGTGTGTGTGCATTTCCGAAGTCCGGCAGCGAATTGAAATCCGATTCAATTGACGGGGATATTAAACTTTTCTTTGTATGGACAGGACTCATGTTCCATTGTTAGATTATCTTAAATAGTAATGCCAATTTTTTTTTTTTTTACCATTGATAACTGTTCCCAGATGTTTTAAGAACATGGAAGCAACAGCTGTGCAACGGATCAAAAAACTAAGTTGGGATCATCTCACTCAAGTGGGTGTGCGATGGAATTTTAGAAACGAAAGACACACTGTAAACACAGATAGATGCCTTTTTGCTATGATTAATGTGAAAAAATAAAAAATAAAAATAAGTACCAGTGGGTACTAGTTAGCCCCAAGGGCAACATGAGAAACCTATGAGTCTGTTCTAAAAATAGCTCACAAGTGACGGGACACTGTGACGTACTTTGTACTAAGAAGAATTAAAACAGAAGAAGGTACCAAATATTCTAACAATAGAATAGATTGTGTTCGTCGGGGGAAAATGCTGTTTCTATTCACCCAAATATTTACAAAAAGGCCATTTTAGAGTTAACCGTGATACCGTAATATTACTGTTCACAGTTATCATATTGTCAGAATTTATTTAGCCTTAGCCTTATCTAATAGAAATAAGTGCTTTGGTGCCACCTTCTGGCTGTTACCAACCTTTTTGAGTGGGTGTCAATTACTGTCACATTTTCACAATTTGCTGCAGGGCTCCCAAGGGCTCGCTTTGCTGTGCTCCCCACTACCTTACCTCGGGGCCAATTTAAAGCTCAGATGATTGTGATGTACCACAAACCCTAATCTTTATCGTCCACTCAAAAACTGTGCTAATCTCATATCCAAAGTGATGCAACGCCACCACCTGCAGGTATCTGTTAGCCATAACAGCCGTGTACAAGCCACAATTTTGACAATCTCTGCGAGACCCCCTTCCATGGCTATCTGTCTTAAGAGCAGACAGAAAAAAAAACTCCCCTTTTTTTTCTTTTTGCTTTTTATGACCAAAAATGGATCAATAAAGCGGCTCATATTTCATCTTGTTGATGGCGTTGGCCTCGACAGACTCTCCTTGAAGTGAGCGTCTGGTTGCTGTCACCCAGGTCGGCATTCACTCCCAGATAGGCCCTATCTCGTCTTGGCCGTCTACTTGAAGGTTGGCCGCCCATCGTGTGACTAGTCTGACCCCCCTCGTACCTTCGGCCGTGCGATGCACAAAGCCAGTGAGTCACATTTGTCAACAGGAGCGACGTCTGACCAGCCCCGCTAGGTTAATGAGTGATAAGGTCCTGGCCCCGGCGTACAAGGCGTGTCCCTGCTCTTGACTTTAGTTGCTTAGTTAATGACTAATGGTGGTATTATGTTCCCGTTTTGGGGCCATTTAATACTGGGTGGCACAGAGAGACTGAACAAAAATATTTTATTGGGCATTAGAGAAAAGAATTTTTATTTTCAAATTTAAGTCTTTGGAGAGCTTGGGGAAGGGCGAATGATGAAAGTTGTATTTAAAACACAATTCTGAAAGAATTTTTATTATCAAATTTAAGTCTTTGGATAGCTTGGGAAAGGGCGAATGATGAAAGTTGTATTTAAAACACAATGTCAGCAATCCTACTTAAAATACAGGACTACCGCTACAGGTGATCCTCAGACACAAATCCCGCTCTGCGTAATACGCAGCGAAAGACTCGCAAGTGAAATGAGCCTTCAGGACTTGCAAATAATCACTTAATCCAACATCCACTTCTACAAATTACAATAACTACACTCAGTGTAATGGTAAGTTAACTTGTTTTTGAACCATTTGTTCTTGTTTTTCCGGTCTGTCAAAATATTGCTTTACATGAAACCAGTCCGCGGCGCAGAAAAAAAATGGTTTTCATGGCTTATGGTGTTCATTTTTCATGCCACTCTGCAGTGTGCAAAAGTTCATGTGACTGGTTTGGAGGTTGTGGTTGTGGTTGACCTTGTTTGTCAAAGAATGAAATCAGCCTTGACATGAAGTCGGATGTGCTCAACGGTTTGCACCATTTTGGATCAGCGACACGGTTAGCGCATCTGTTTCACAGTTTTGAGGTAACCTGCTCCCCCCTTACATTTTCATCTCTCGGTTGAGATGTATCATTTCAACTTGTTTTTACCATGTGCACGTCTGGAATGTGTCGCCCACAATAAATTGGGGTTCACTGTTGGTGATTTTGCCAGTTGGTTCACTGTATCCTGCCTTCACTGGGTTCTATGTGACAGAACGAGGCAAATAAATGTCGTCTCTACCATTTTGCCTCTTGTGGGTCGTGTGTTCAAATGGGCTCAAAGCAAAACGCGTCATGAGTCAGGCATGCTTGTTTTGTGAGGCGGGTGAGTCAGGTATCGCGACACAAAGTGTTGTGGAATGTGCGGTAAAGATCTTGTGGACCCAGAATGCTGCCGGGCGACTTGGACTGCGGCGAACTACAACACCCCCGACCCCGCAAGGCCTCATCTGCAACCTGAGTGTTTACAATAATTGACAGGTTTGTTTTTTTTTTGTTTTTTAAATTAAATGGCAATTTTGATATTTTTTTTTGTCAGGTCACTTTCCTGGGATCAGCTGTACAATCATCCCTGTATTGCTGTTGCCTTTTTTTTGTTTTGTTTTGTTTTAAATCGTACTTAATGTTGCGCATTATTCACTGTATTGTGATTTTGCCCTGATTCGTTCTCCTCAACAAGTGACTGCTGATTGACATAGCCGTTCGTGTGAGCCCGGAGGAAAAATTTCACAAATACAACTGGCTGAAGTTTCACAACTGCGTTTCTACAGTGAAGTAAAAATCCTTATCTAATTTAATATAGGTTATCGCCGCTAGTAATAACGAGTTCTAATCCCTCCATCAGCTGGTTAGGATAGAGGGAAAATCCACAAAACCCCTGTGCACTTGAGATCGCAAAACGTGCAAAAACATTCTTCGATGATCTGCCGATGGTCTCAACTTGCTGAAATTTAGCCAGTTAACAGCCAGCCAGCTTCTCATTCACTGATTTCCATGTTACTCAAAGGGCCCACACACATTCAACGTCATAGATACTACAGTGTAGAACTTCAGGATTGCGACACCAAGCAGACAAAAATAGTACTTGCACCTCAAATGCATTACATGTTGGTATTATATGTATGAAACCTCGAAATAGAAATAATTATTTGGTTGATACTTCGTCTGTTGTTGGGGTCCTCTGGAATGGAATATCCTTTTTTTTTTTTTTTGTATTAACAGTGAGGACAGAACATTAGCCTCGTGCAGTCAGTGTTTCCTGACCTTTATTGATCCCATGCACATAATTATATCAAGAAAATTTCACGAATTTGAAAGAGAATAGGCAGGGGTAAGGTTCACCCCCCCTCCGCGCGCTATGATTGAAGTCTAAAATAATGACTTTTTTTTTTTTTCCCTTTTCCAAATGTTGTTTCTCCACTAGTGTTGCCTGATCGCAATGTGACCTCCGGCTGACGTCTTCTCCACACCTCTCCTCAGCCTCACTCAGCTGCCAATCAAATGCACACGGACAATAAGCTGGCCAATCATGGCAAGCAAGGTTACCGGTGACGGACGATCTCAAATGGCCGGCGTAAACCTGCAGGCTCAGCCGCAGCCGCAGCAGCAGCAGCAGCAGCAGTCGCGACACCTGACGTTCCTCTTCCTCAATCTCTATTTGCTCATCCTCTTCATCATCTTCCTCTTCCTGATGTGGGTATCCTGCACATCTGTCAACATTCTTAAAGGCCTCCGTTGGCATTCAAATGTCTTCAATCATTCTTTCAAAAGTGTTGCTAACATGAAAAAGTCAAACGAGCTGGTCAACACAAAGATGACGTCACGGCTATTTCATAACAAATGAAGCTACTTTTCACTTGCGTTTCAAATGCACTTCAAAAGTTGAACTTACCGCAGCGTGCGTGAAGACGGTCCTCTCGTCCTTTTTCCGTAGCGTCGTCGTTAGCGTGATTGGCTTATAATTTTTTGTAATTATAAAGAAAAATATTTTTTTAATGATGTTTTTATAATCATTTTAAATTCTTTTTTTGTTTGTTTTATTATCATTGTTAAAAAACATTTTAAACATTGCGAGCGAGCCGTGGAACACCACATTCAAGTTAATTTACATAATACCCGCACACCAAGTTGTGACAAATAAATGTCAAGTGTTAATAACACATGAACCGTTTGAAATTCTGAAAAAAAAAATCCCCCTCAAGAGTGCCAAAGTTCACCGTTTTGCCTTCACTATCCGTTTTAATCAAGCAAAAAAACGTAGACGACATGCCTTCTTCACCTCCTCCACGGCAGGAAGTGAGCGTAATAGCACAGAAAATGCCCCGACCTTTCAGCGAAGCGGCAGAATTTCCTCCCTCCACTCCCCCAAGGCTTCTGATAGCGGCAATGACGTGTTTGACATGAAAGGCGTTGTGTCCTTTCTCACAAGGTCATGAGGCTGTGTGAGTTCTCCCGGTTGAAAAAGATGAGTGTTTCGTGTACTTGTCGCTGGGGTCACATGTAACTCGTGTCCAACAGTAAAATGCTTCAAATAAGATCATCCATTTTCGGTACCGCTTTCGCCCAGTAGCGTCACGGGGTGAGCCGGAGCGTCGCTCATACAGAGGTGTCTTGAGTTAGGAGTTTCCCGAGCTCAAGTCATTCCCGGACCATGCTCTTCAAGAAAAACACTCACACCTCAAATCTTTTCGCATTTAAATGAACCTCCCCAAAATATGTAAACGCTCTATCATGTCGTACTTTATAACAATGTACAGTCCTGACAAATAGAATGTAAGGGGAAAAAAACGCAACATTATTTGCTTATGGCGTCATGAACTCAAGCATGAATTGATGACAAATTGAAGAAAATACCAACCATGAACTTGCTCTTTCATTGTCTCTACCACTGCCCGTGATTTTTGTAGCTGTATCAAAGACTGTGAAAATGAAATGAAGGTCAAGCCTGCTTTCCTCTGAGCTGCACATCACTATGCTGCAAAAAGCAAGACAAGGCCAGTGACCAAGGCAAACAAATTGGCTCAATGACTGACTTTATTGCGAAAAGAATCTCGTCGCCCTTGGCAACATAACATGAGCAGGAAGGCAAGCCATCGCTGGCGTTTAGTTGGCAGGGGCTCCCTCTGCTGTCTTTTGTGTGTATTAATCCTGCGTTTTAACACTCCTCAAATTCACACAATTCTAAGTAAACGGTGAGCGTAGTATGATAAAACTAAAATCAAAAAAAACTCCTCACCCTTTGAAGACTCGTAAATATGAAGGCAACAGAAATATTGTTTGCGGAGTCAGACTGTAATATCACTGCAATGTGATGTTTCATTAACTCTCATACATTTAATACTGTGAACCTCGTGGTTCGAATCTCTGCCCCACAGTTGCGAGATACTGTCCTGAAATCAGAAGATTGTGGGGCTTTTGTCCCCTAAAAAAGTGTTTTAACTTTTTTTCCTTTTTAGGAAAATTGACAACTTTTTAATTTCCTTGAGTATTTAAAGTGGTACACTTTGTACACAGTAGTTACATTTAACTGGCTATTTTGAGGGGCCCTTGGAAAAATATCTTCCCCGTCAGAGTTCCTCGGACCGAAAAAGTTTGAGGACAGTATTCTCACAGCTTTTTCTGTTTGCATGTTGAAGAGGGTGTGACGCGCAGTAAGCGCCGTTGCGTCCTGGAGAAGAAGCAGCCATACAGTGGAGATGAGTGGTGCTCCGGACCTGATACGGAGGACGACGAAGACAAGCCACATTCGACGACGCAACGTGAGTCAGAAATCACCAATATTTCATTTGCAGTGCTGTGAAAAAGTACAGTATGAGCCCCCTTTCTGAGTTCAGTTTTTTTCTCTGCCAGTTCTCACGTGTCACAAACACAAACCAAGCAAATCCAACTTTGAATGAGCTGAGTTCAGTTTCACTGGCAGCACCAAGGCTTGGTGTTTTCATTTCAGGAATCCCTGAATTAGTACCTTTCAGACAACATGAAGTTGGCTACAAGAGCTCGAAAATAAACATGGCCAATCCAAAGGAATTCAAGAACACAAGAATCACAATGTCTGGAAAAGGTTGGCAGGCCATTTCCGAGGCTTTTGGACTCTGGGGAACCATGCTTAGGGCCATTCAGCACAAACGCAGAAAACTGGGAACGGTGGTGAGCCTTCACAGAAGTGGTTGAGAGGGCAATTCCTTTTTCACGTAGGGCTAGGTATTTTTGGATTTTACTTCCTCAATGAAAAAAAAATCATCATTTAGAAGCGTCATTTTAAATTTAGTTAGCTTGTTTTTGTGACTGCAGTGGTGCAGTCCATTCCGAGCCCCATGCAAAAAAAAAAAAAAATCCTCAAAATTAGTTTTTGAAACATGTTTTTTTTTCATTTTTTGTTTGTGGATGCCCTTCTCCTTGAGTTGATTTTTTGTGTGGTTTAACTCCCTCTAGTGTTTCTATCATGTGCTTGATACCAGTGTATTTTGCAATGTGAGGATATTGCTTCAAAATGTTTCTTTCCTTGAAGGGGAGCGAGTACTGCCAGGACCCAGGCAGGGGCAACCTGATCATCCTCCTGCGGGGGCCGCTGGGTCTGGGCCTGCAATGGCTTGTGGACCTGGACCTGGACCTGGACCTGGACCTGGACCTGGACTGAAGCCAGGACCACTTGCACTTCAGTCCTCGAAGCAGTTGTTGTATGTCTTCACCACCAGCATGGCCAACAGGTAAGCCACCATTCACAGACGTAAAAGACAACTTTAAGCACGAAAATTCAGATTCATTCTTTAACATTTTGCTTCGACAGTGCTGCAGAGGCAGTAATGAAGGGAAAGATGGATTCCATTCTTCAGTTTCACCAGCAAAATGTTCCACGAACCAAGTTAGAGCAGGTCAGTCGACGACAAATAAATCAGACGTACAGTTGTAATTTCAACCACAATGTCAAATACAGTGCCTGTGTTGGACAAAGTATTTAAACATTTGCACTCGCACACACACGACCAGATGAAATGCTTTTTTAACACATGCTGAAAAGAAAGTTGCCGATGCAACCTTTTGGGTCGCAGTCTTGTAAAACCTCATAAAACGTCCTGTATTTGAGGTGACAATCATCAGTAAATTGTTATTTATTTTTGTTGGACATAGGGCCCCGCATTGGCGAGTAACACAGAGAAGGTGAACTCCAGTGCCTCTCCGCCCGCAGGCACCCCCATATCCAAAAGTGGAACCCCGCGACCCAACTCAGCAGGAGGCGGCATCTCCTCACTTGCAGCAGAAACGGCGACGTCAGGGGACCACACTGACAATGGTTCCCCTCGGACCAGACATGGCGGCCTCTCCATTAGTAACTCGATTCTCTCCCATAGACCAGAGGGAGATGGCAGAGGCACCCCTTTAGACCCTGTCTCAGGAACTGCACATGATGAGGGTCTTCCCATTGCTAGTCTGTCTCCATCGGGGAGTCCTTCCATCCTGTCTGCGCATTTACAGAGCGTCACGGGACATAGAAGCGGCCCTGGGAATGCAGGCGGTCTTTCCAAGGAGCAGCTGGAACACAGAGAACGTTCTTTGCAGACTCTGAGGGACATCGAGAGACTATTTCTACGCACTGGAGCGAGAGGGAGCCCTCATGGCGACACGGGGGGTTCCAACAGTAACCTTACAAACAACGCTTCCAACGTCATGAACAACAATGGTAGCGATCAAGGCGCTATTCTCGAGGACGGCGACAACGGTACAAACACTGGAGATTGCAGCAGCGGTAGCATGGCGCTGTCAGCGTTGGCCTCTCTGAAGAAATTTGAAGAACCATTACAGTCCATAATGTCACAAACACAATCGCTCAGCACTGCCACGCACAGCCCCGAAATGGACCCTCACCATAATCTACCGCAGCACCCTCATCATCAGCTCTCTTCCCCTGGCTTGGACATGGGCCCCTTACTTGGACCGGAGGGGCTGACCCAAGAACAAATCGCGTGGCGGAAACTCCAAGAGGAGTACTACCACGAGAAACGGCGGCAACAGGAAATGCAAAATCCCCAACACTTTAGGATGATGACTGAAATGGGCTTGCATGGAGGTCCCATGATGATCAGGGGACCCCCTCCCCCGTATCACAGCAAGCCTGGAGATCACCAGTGGGCTTCTGGAAATATGATGGGAGGCGGCTTGCCTGGAAATGTACGAATGGCGGGCATGCACCAAGAAGGTCCTGGACGTCCAAAGTTCCTAGCACATATGCAGAGAGGGCCTCCAGGTGGAGCAGGGTTTCCTGGCAGTCCAGGGGGGATGTTATCTGTCGATGCTCTCGGACCCCAAAGGCCTACTAGACCAGGGATTTGGCTTGATAATATGCCCAGCAACATGGACGGCGGAGGTTCATTCCACGGTTGCTACCCTCCTCAACACTTGCAGGATGACCCAGAACTGTTAACCCGTGAGGAATTATTTCGCCTGGCGGAGAAGCGGCAGATGCAGGGTCTTCCTAGGTTTGAACTTGACCGGATTATTGCACAGCAGCAACAGGGCAATATGGGATCAAGAATTATGGGAAATCCTGGGGGTCCAGACATCTCCAATTTAGGTATGGGCAGGGGTCCACCTTCCAATCAAGGGGATCCTATGGACTTTCCTGGTTCACGGGATATGATGGGCTCCCCTGGAGGAGGGCCTCAGATTAGAGACTTAATAGACACCCCTTTGGGGAGCAACCTTTCAATAAACATGAACCCACAGATGAATATTCAGCAGCAGCATATGACTCTGTCGCAAAAGCTCAGAAGGGGCCCAGGAAGTGCGGGGCCTCTGAGTGAGTTCTTCAGCCCTGCGGAGATTGCGAGAATACGAGCGTCACAAAATGAAAGAAGAAATATGGGAATGGTTTCAGGACCTGATGGACCCTTTCGTTTTCCAACGCCTAGCCCTTTCTCCGGTGGACCGGGTGAAGGGCCATATCCTCAACAGCCTGGTCCCGAGATGTTTGGGCCTGAGCAGGAGGCTCGTAATTCGATGGGAGGTACGTCAAGGCTCAGTCATATGCCAATCACTGGAGAGCTCAGAGGACTGGGTCCTGGTCCTCGGCATCCTACCGACCTTTCGGTTAATGTTCACCCACTGACGACTCCTGCGGTCCAGCATCCACACCAGCTCAATTCACCATCCCTTCATCGAGAGCCACCAGCTCATCTTCCCTCTCCATCTGCTCCAGGCCAGAAGTCACCCTCAATTATCGCCCCCGCAGGGCCTCACCCCCCTCTTCCCCCTGCTTCTGGTGCAGGGACACCTTGCTCTTCTTCCATGAAATCGCCCCAGATAATGGGGTCTTCAAATCCTGAGTTGCACTCCCCATCTATCTCACCTGGACGACTTAAGTCCCCGGCTATGGCTATCGGCTCTCCCGCGTGGATGTCTCCGAAAACAGATCCTTCAAGTCCAGGTGGTCTAACAGGTGTGAGGGTTGCAGGCAACGGAGGAGGTCATTGTGAGACAGGTGCATTCACAAACATGATGTTTTTCACACACGAAACAATAAATAAATCACACACATCACCTGAATTCGTAATTTGTCCTGATACTTTTGGTGACATTTATTTTGATGTCTTTTTTTTGCAGGGCGTTCACTGCACCCCAGAAGTTCCAACTCCACCCCAAGTAGCCAAGCAGGCTCGATGAATCCTAGTATGACATTTGCAACGTCGCCTGATACCCCCAAAACACAGAATCCTTTGTCGCTGATCATGTCTCAGATGTCCAAGTATGCCCTGCCCAGTTCCACTCCCCTTTATCACGACGCAATCAAAACAATAGCAACTTCTGATGACGAGATGCTGCCCGACCGACCTCTTCTGTCCGGTGTCAGCATGGGAGGTATGAACGCAAAAAAAAAAAAACAAACACACAGGGATTACATTTTCAAGTACTAGGTTTGACTCTTGGAACTTGAACAATTCAGTGGTCAAAATGTGGAATTCGACCACAAAAATGGAACTTAAATTCCAGACAAATATTGGTCAAAGTTTGGGTTTAGGTTCAGTTTAGATTTAGGGGATGACAGGCAAAGGTTCAAAATTCAAAGTTAGGTTTAGGGTTTAGGTCGTAAGGGGTTAAACTTGGGAGTAAGGGCAGATGGTTAGGAGTAAAGGGTTAGTTATTTTTTCAAGGTTCAGGTTATGTGTAAAGGGTTAGGATTAGGAGTACGAGGATAGGGTTCGGAATTGGGGTTGGGAGAAATATGCGTGGTAGATTAATTGAAGACTCCAATGAATGTGAGTGTGAATGTTTTTTTAATTTGACCATTGCTGCTCATCTCCTCTTCCGCCTCCTCGTCCTCTCTAAAATGAGCAAGCCACACTGAAAGCTACATCTTATCAAGGTTCGTTCTACTTCTCTCTACACCAGCAGCAGAAGTCTCCGTGTTTACTTCTTGGTAGGGCGCCACGTCAACACTTCCAAATATGGGCATGCTGGTACTGGGGTGCCGTTGCCTTTCTGCTCTGCCACACGACCCCTTAACACTGAATGAGTCAGCGCAAAAAGGGTTTAAAAGTTTAGGGTTCAAAGTAAATTGTCGCCGTTAGGAGTAAACAATGGTGTTTAAGATTAGAAATAACAGGTTAGGAACAAAGGGGTAGGTTTAGTGTTCACATTGCTTTAAAATATGAAAAGGCTTCTGGTTAAAGTTTACCTAACTACTCTTGGGTAGGGTTATTTTGGTAATCCTAACCCTTTCAACTATGAACAGTCTCATCGTAAGATGCTGATTTTGCTTCACCAACAGGAAACATGGGGAACCCGCCTCCATCCCAGATGCTGGTCTCCCAGAGTTCCATTGGTGCCCAAAGTGACTCTCAAAGCCCCGTGGGAATCCCAAGTCAAGGTCAGCAGCAGCTATCCCACGATGCCTCAGAACCAGTGCTGTCTTCTCCAAACCCACTGGGCCTTCCTGTTATGAGTTCCACCATGATGGTCGGAGGAAGTGATGACCTTGGTCCTTGCAATGTTTCACCGATCTCTCAAAACCAGATGGCGGCTTTCCCCCGTTTACAGCCGTCGTCTCACGTCCATATACGCTCACCCATCAGCAGAATGTCACAGAACTTCCCTCAGTCCGGCGAGGATATTCTCCCATCTCAGCAGCTGCACCTGATTGCTAAAGACTCCCACCAACGCCACCCTCATCCCTCAGAGTCCTTTCCACCTCTTCCCATGGGCGACGGCCCGGATCTAAGCGAAGTCATCCGACCTACCCACTCTGGGATTCCTGAGTTCGACCTGTCCCGCATCATTCCCTCTGATAAGCCCAGCAGCACTCTGCAATATTTCCCGAAGAGCGAACCGCACCAGAATCCAAACCAGGGGCCCGGATCACAGCCGCCACCTTCCCAGCAGCTCCTCAAACACTTGTCTTCCTCTGGTCCTCCACACATCTCGTCATCCAACCCCCACTTGGCCAATTTACAGAACATGATGGCCGAGCAGCAGCTGACGCCTCACCAGGGGCAGGGCGGACTCAGCCAAAACATGGCCGTCCTCCAAGGGGACACCAGGGGAATGGTGTCCGGCGCAGGCATCGGCCCCATGTGCCCCCCGGGACACATATTGGGAAGGACAGGCATGGTTCCCCAGCAACAGCAAGCCATGATGGCCAACAGTTTTCTTCACCATCCCTCCGGTGCCTACCCGGGAATGATGTCACCTCAACAGCACCAGCACAATTTGATGGCGCGGCAAAACGTGATGATGATGCAGGCTAAGCAGCGCAACATGCCCATCCCGGGAGACCCCTTTGGCCCCCAGAGTGCTTTAATGTCCCCTCAGGGTGCCTTGATGGCCCCATCCCACGCACAGACTGGAATGATGGGACCGCAGTCCTTCAGACAGCGGGGGATGTCTCTGGACAGCCCCATTGGTTACGGTCCTGGCGGTATGGCCAACATGCCTTTTTGATCCACCCAACGCGGCCTGGACAAGTGTCTCAATTATGTTGCCATTGGAATCCATGAATCATTCGTTCCTTCCGCTTTAATTGGCAGTCGAACATTGAACAACAAGAAAAGTACTCATTGTTTTAGTTGTTTTTTTTTTTTTTGTGTAACAGAAAAAATGAAAACGCAAGTAATTGATTCCCCCTAAAAGTTTTTGAGTTGCCAAAAATGACTGTTTAAACTGGAAACATACGACATTCCATGATCCCAAAACACTTGTGGTTTCATCTTACAACATTACCTTTAAAAATAATTGGCTAACTGAGGATTCATTTCGGAAAAATGCTCTGAAAATGTGCATGTACATGAACTTGCGGCGAACACTCTCCATAACTTCCACTAACATCCCAGGCAAAACTTTGCTCCTCTGTCGTTCACTAAAGTGTAGCGCTCCAACTTCCTTGATAACAAATTTCTATTTTTAAGCCTTCACATACAATACATCACATAATTGTCCCATGTTATAATATGGGCAACAGATAATGGTCTGGACATCTTGTGAAGAAACAAGAAACAAGCCAATGTATCTTTTCTAAGTCGTGCTTGTTACCACATTTCCATTTCACGCAAATTAAACCAATTTAGGACCGTATTTTCTGCACTATAAAACGCTTTGGATTATAAAGTGCACCTTCAATGAATGGCCCATTTTAAAACTGTTTTCATATATAGGGCACACCGCATTATAAGGCGCATGGAATAGAAGCTGCAACGGTGGCTGCGGTTTCGCTGTGCATCCACTAGGTGGTGCTAGGCTAAAGGAATACAATACAATACAATGCAAGACAATGTATTGCACTGTCGGCCTGAGAAAATTGAATGCTTTTGGGTGTGCCTTTAGTGTGGAAAATACGGTATTTTAATCATACTCAGTCCTGTGGCCTGTTTTTCAATTTTTCTATATTTAACCGTCCGCTCACATTTAAGTATGAACAATCATATATTTTTGCCCTTTTTTGTGTTACATTAAAAATTAAATAAATCATTGTTTTAGATGTTTTGGATTGCCATTTGAAAATGAATAGAACAAATTTTGCACGGATTAGCGTGCCTATGCATTTTTTATTTTTTTTAATCGCGCTTGTCTTTCTTTTGGGGTGGGAGAAGAGAAATTACAGATATCAGTAACATGCTTTGCTACTGATTTGTACATTGAAATATTTAGGAGCACTGTAAAACGGTTCGATATAAAAATTTGAAGAGCATTTCTTATATAAAAAAGGAAAAAAACCCTGTAAAGTTTGTACATTTCTGAGATGTGCTTGTTTGTCGGAAATCACATGATAGTTAAGTGTGTGTGTGTGTGTGTGTGTGTGTGTGTGTGTGTGTGTGTATGAGAGATGAAATAATATATACCTGCTGTATATAAGATGCAATTTGTGATTGTTTGCACTCTCGTTATATATAACTGTGTTTTAATGGAAGTCTAAAAGAAATGGAAGAGTGAGAATCTCTATGGTGGGTTTTACTTGGGATGGAGGTTACTGTTTGATAAACAGACAATGAAACACGGTTGCAGTCAAATAAATGAAAGCCTTAATAACCTTTGGTGTGGAGACTCTTCTGGCCAACATCTAAAGAATGAACAGTTTGAAACAAATGTAACCCTGCAAATTCAAATGACATCCAGTCTACGAGTTGGATTAAAAAAAAAAAAAAAGAAAAGACTAAGAACGCAGATTTTAAGTGACACTATCAGAGAGCTATTCATTTAACAATAGCATTATTACACTGCATCATATCGACTTTCTAATACTCTGAACTGCTTGTTTGGAAAACCTATAATAAACATATTTTTAATTTCAATGACAAATGAACATTTGCGATTTCTCTCTCTCTCTGTCTCTCAGAGTGACAGGCTGAAACAATGATATGCTCTTCCCCGAGATAGCAGAAGTTACATAATTGTAATACAGTATCCACAAAAGTAGTTAAAAAAATAAATCTTATGATATTTTTTTAAATTTAAAGTGTGCCTTGGTTGAATGTTAGGGAAACACTGGGCTAGGGTACCTACTCAGGTGTCTTGTGACAAGTGCAAACTCGTGAACTTTAATGGGGGCATCTTGAATGTCATATACGTAGCTTTTGAAAGATTAATGTTAATGTGAAGTAAGAAGTTATCGATTTAAATTAAATGTTAAATGTTCTGGAAAGCGATTTGTTACAGCTGCGGCTTTTGTGAATGCGGTATATAAAGAAGGATGTATTGTATTTTAAACCTATTGTGTGACAGTATATGTTAAATTGCTCAGTGACGTCTCGGTGGTGACGTCACGTTTAGGCCAAAGTGTAAATAACAACGGGCTACATTCGATGCGTTACATTTACGCTGCTCAGAAGGAGAGGAGTGAAATATTTACGAATTGGAACTTATCGAACTTATCATATTTAAAAAAATGTATATATTTTTAAAGAGATTAGAAATGAAATCAGCTGATCGTGGCGGTGGGAGGCGGGCTCAAATACGAGTGGACGCCATCTTGCAGGCTCGGATGAGAAGAAGCCTCATTTGTGCTTTCGGCTACCATTTGACAAAGCTTAAAAAACGAAAAACGACGATTTACTTCACTTATCTGAGGTAATGAGCGGCTCAACTTGGATGTTCTGTGTGTGTGTTGAATCCTCCGCTGGACGACCGGGTCGCACGCACCGTATTGTTTGGGAATATGTTATGTCGTATTTCGCCGTCATTAGCCGGCCATCTGGCTAGCTTGCTAACACTCTGTGACGTTGAATGTTAGTGTTGATTAAAAAAAGACGAAAGCATAACCGTGATGCCTGCTAACACCGTATACCATGCATCGCCGACTTAATGTTGATAAATAAATAAAAATCGTGTTAGGGCGAATTCTCCAACACGCCAATTGAATTTTCCAGTGCTAGCGGCTTCTACGTCAGCTTTTATTATCCGAAATCTACTCTAGCTGCAACCTTTAATAGCTTTTACCGTCGAGGCCCATTTTGTATCGTCTGAGGCTTTCAGGTTTTAACTGTGAAGTCTTAATGTCTGTGACTTTGTTTTTACCCACCCCCACTCTCTTCTTCAACGTTGAGGGATCCACGTTAGCTGCTAACTGTAGAGCGTTTATCGTAGATAAATTTCATGTTCTGGTCAAACGCCTTTTAATGATTGTTTCGGCCATCGCACACTATTGACTTGTTTTTCGTTACATGCTGGATGACTGACCACTTGTTTGCTGTAGGGTTGAAATAAATCCGACGAAGAGGACGCAGCAGCTTAGAGTTCCCCGAGATGGCCAGTTTGAACAAATCGGCCCGTGCTTGAAGTCAGCTAAGGCCTCTCGGAGTTTGGATTCCAGACACCTGCTGTCAAACTCCAAGCTCGCCCCAAACTGAACTGCTCAAGCTCCCCTCATTCCCAACAGAAATCTGTTCAAAAACACTGAAGAGAAGTTTTTGCTTCATGTCCCAGAAACGTCAATATTGTGCTATTGGGAGTGATATTTGGACACATTGTACAGTAAACACAGCCCCGAGAGGGGAGGACTACCTTTAATTGTGAGTGTTTCCAGCTGAGTGGATTCACTCCTCACTTGAGGTTCATCGTTACTGGACTGAGAAGCTAAGAAGGAAATATAGGAAATATGAGCACTGCCAGGACGGAGAACCCGGTCATCTTGGGCCTGTCGAACCAGAACGGACAGCTCCGGGGCTCGGTGAAGCCGGCTGGAGCGCCAGGTGGTGGTGGTGGTGGTGGCGGTGGAGGAGGCCCCCAACAGCCACTAAACCAGATGAAAGGCACAATCAACAATGGTAATGCCCAGACAGCCCCCACGACTAACGCTGTCATCAAGTAAGTTCCATGTCAGCGAAATACATCAAGAATAGTTGATAACATGACAAATTTGTGCTTTCATGTGATCAGTTCTCACGAGAGTTTGGACTTTTGCAGGCCTGGAGATGACTGGAAGAAAAATTTGAAGTTGCCCCCAAAAGACATGAGAATGCGAACTTCGGTTTGTATTTTTTTTTTTTTTTTAATCCTAAAACTTTGAATAAATTTTAGATGGACATTCTTATGGAACAGTTATTATTCCAGGATGCTTATTTCATTGCAAAAGAATTTTATTCCCAAAGTAAATTTATGACTAACATGTAATTTCAACCTCATTTGACCCTTAAAAGTAAATGACTTGAAATTTATTTTGACAAGAAAAAAATGCACCTGAAATGTTTCCTGCTTCCACTAAAGCAGGCTAAACCTTTCTCCTCCCCAAAATAACAGCTTGTCTCAGTTGAAATGCATCACTTCAATAGCCTTTGTGGAACATATTGCAGCCATACAATTCAAAGTTAATGATTTGTTAATAAAGTTTATCAGTTTGAACATTAGATATCTTGTCTTTGTAGTGTATGCAGTTAAACACAGGTTGAGCACAATTTGCAGATGATTGTATTCGCCTTTTATTTAACACAGCATCCCAACTTCATTGGAACTGGGTTTGTAGTTCCTTGACACCAATTCTTATTTAGACAAGGCTTTGGCAGCATCTTAGGGTGTTGCAGAAAGAGCACAAACACCAAAAGCGGGTGAATTTATGATTCAAGTGCAGATGTGTGGTGAATTACTTTGGTTACATATTGAGTGACCTGAGAAACTTCAGTTGCTAATGTCACATCTACTGGTGCTCCACAGGATGTGACGGCAACAAAGGGCAACGAGTTTGAAGATTACTGCCTAAAGAGGGAGCTGCTCATGGGCATCTTTGAGATGGGCTGGGAAAAGCCGTCTCCCATTCAGGTGCAGTTCCTCCTCCGCAAATGCATGACGCCATCTCTCTGTCAGAACAAGGATACTTCCATGCCGCAATGCTGGCCGACTCATCAAAGTATCAATTTTCGCTGCTGCTCTTAGGAGGAAAGCATTCCCATCGCGTTGTCCGGGAGAGACATCCTGGCCAGAGCCAAGAATGGCACAGGGAAGAGTGGAGCCTACCTCATTCCCTTACTTGAGCGCATTGACCTGAAGAGGGACTATATACAAGGTGGGCATCTCTATAGTGTTGGGCAACCTAAGTCGTGGGGCCAAATATGCACCACTTGGGTCTTAATTCCGGTACACTGAGCATTTACATTAGGTGGCATCGGATATTTGTGTCTTAAAATTTTTGTTCCACCTTTCTAAAACGAGTTAATTAAAACCTACTTGTTTAATTTCCTTATTTTCTCATTAAATGATTTGCTTACTAATTTACACATAGGTATTAAAAAAACAAAAAGGGGACATACACTTTTCACGAGACAGAGACATTATGAGAATATGAGCATGAATTATTAAAAACAATCCGTCCCATTAAATTTGCACATTGATTTCTTGCAAATATGATTTCCGTTTTACCTATATAACTTCTATTAAATAATTGCTTGACAAATACAAGTGTGAATAGAACATGATTTTGTAAAAATCATTTTTGTTGCATTAATTTAGCATTTTTTTTCCACATTAGGTTTATTGATAAAGCATTTTTAATTCGTCACAATTTATTGCCAGTACCCCAAATTTTCCATAAAGTAAGTTTTTTTCACTTTAAAATGTACTAATTGGTTCATTTTATTTTTTAAATCCAGTCACATAATGAAATGATATGACCCATCTGTCCTTTGTAAAAATCAAACTTACCCTTGAGTGCAAATATTTGCCCACTCCTACTGTACCATGAAGTAATGATGCAAATTGGATATTAGGTCTGCAAAAAAATGTAGTTAGTAAGTAAACGTTTGTCTTCTCCTTCCCAGCACTGGTGATAGTGCCCACCAGAGAACTGGCTCTGCAAGTCAGCCAAATATGTATCCAGGTCAGCAAACACATGGGAGGAGTGAAGGTGATGGCTACCACAGGTGGAACCAACCTACGCGATGACATCATGAGACTGGATGAAACTGGTAACACTTGTCACACCCAGGCAAGACTCATGCTGACTTGGATTGCATTAACATGAGCGTAATTTCCCCCGCCTCCCTCTTCCCAGTTCATGTGGTCATTGCCACCCCTGGGAGGATTTTAGACCTCATCAAGAAAGGAGTGGCCAAAGTCAGTCAAGTGCAGATGATTGTTCTGGATGAGGTGGGATGTGCTCTTCATTTTTCTGTCAGGCTGCATTGCAGTTTTTTTGTTTTGTTTGTAAAACTCTGTTCTTCATCTCATTTGGCAACAGGCTGACAAACTCCTGTCTCAGGACTTTGTGGTCATGATGGAAGAGATTCTGGGCTTCCTCTCCAAACAGAGACAGATTTTACTCTACTCTGCTACCTTCCCCCTCAGCGTGCAGAAGTTTATGGTATGTTCTCGAATGATAGTCATGTTGAACGAACAAGTTCACACACACCGCAGGTTTCTTTTAGAAATGAAAGCTGGGGTATTACACTACATTTTAATATTCGTTAGTAGAGCATTTTGTCTCATCCGAAGATACAGAGGATTAGTAGTTGTTTAGTCAGCTGCTGCAGAAAAAAAAATACCTGTATGACCTGCGATGGGTGAAAAATCTGCGGCAGAGACTGTCATAAAAAAAAAAAATACTTAAAACCCCTCACATAAGGTTTAAATATATTGAAGCGCACGTTTGGAATGTATTTAAACGCATAAAATTTGCCCACTCATGCCGCTTTTATTCTGAAGCATTTTTCACTGCGTTTGTAGAACTCGCACCTGCAGAAGCCCTACGAGATCAACCTCATGGAAGAGCTCACGCTGAAGGGTGTGACTCAGTATTATGCTTACGTCACAGAAAGGCAGAAGGTGCACTGTCTCAACACCTTGTTCTCCAGGGTAAGGTTGATTCTTCTGGTTCAGCTTGGCACCAAACCATTCCATTTAAAAAGAAATGAACGAATGAACGAATAATATCAGTATCTGAATGTAACGACGTGTATGTCACTTGTCTTCTAGCTCCAGATCAACCAGTCTATAATTTTCTGCAACTCCTCTCAGAGAGTGGAGCTCCTTGCCAAGAAAATCTCCCAGCTGGGCTATTCGTGTTTCTACATTCACGCCAAGATGAGACAGGTTGGTCGTCGCTTTCTCTTCCGCACGTACCGTTGGTTTGAACCTGATGCTGCCTCTAGTGAAGCTTGTCAATCAGTCTTAAAGTTGCCGTCCAAGTCAAGTTTATGTGTGAGTTTTAATTCCTCTCTTTCTCTCCAGGAACATCGCAACCGTGTGTTCCACGACTTCCGAAACGGCCTCTGTCGAAATCTCGTCTGCACTGGTGAGGAGCACACCCACTTGGATTGCTTTATTTTATTTTTTTATTTTATTTTTTTTTTGGACGAGAGTTGAAGAAAATGTACAGGCATCTACTAGTTGTAGCTTTCTACTCAGAAGCTAACAAGCCAGAGCATGCTAGCATTTCCTTCTTATTGGCTGCAATTGTGATTAAGGTAAAACATGTTTGACGAACGCCTGGTGCCATGTCACTGAATGATCACACAGCAACAGTGGTCACTTGACTTAGGTGCTGCGTACTTTCATCGGGATGGTTTTCTGGTTGTCACAAAACTCTTTTGCCGGTCAAATATTTGCTTTTAAGTTCAAATAAGATATTTTTTTTTGTTGTTGGGTTTTTTTTTTTTTTTTTTTTTTTTTTTTTTTAGACCTCTTCACAAGAGGAATAGACATTCAAGCTGTGAATGTTGTGATCAATTTTGACTTCCCGAAGCTGGGAGAGACGTACCTTCATCGCATTGGCAGATCTGGTGAGAACTCAACTGTAACCTCCACCTTGTTTACGTACACAACAAGCAACAGCCAGCAAGCATTAAACCTCATGGTCATCCCTCAGGCCGCTTTGGACACTTGGGTCTGGCCATCAACCTGATCACATATGACGATCGCTTCAACCTGAAAGGCATCGAAGAGCAGCTGGGAACAGAGATCAAGCCCATCCCCGGCATCATCGACAAGAGCTTGTATGTGGCCGAGTACCACAGCGAGACCGGCGAAGAAGTTAAGCCATGAGCCAGTGAGTATACACGTGCTCCCGCACTCTAACCGCTCCTAATACAATACAATACAATACATCCTGATTGATGTAGCGCTACAGCTGTAACAAAGCGCTTAACAAAACAGTTAACATGAATGGGAGTCCTCGTTTTTTGACGGCCCCGATATTTGAGGTGACAAAATGTCATTTCAAACGCGTCTTACAACTTGACATGTTAACATGACATTTCATTTTGGCGAAATGCACCAAAGTTGTGTGCGTACATGCACAGACGTGGAAGACGTTTCCTAATTTCCAACAACTCGGGTTGAACAGAACTGCTCTCTGACCTCCAAAGCTTGTTTCTGTCAAGATGTCACTTCAACAAAAGGGATTCCTGTTTGTTTTGTTTGCGTGTTGCATGTGGGAGTAAATGTTCCTGTCTTGGATTGGATCTCTGCAGAGCGTCACTTCCTGATTGGCCAACAAATCACGGTGCCAAGTTTAAAGAGCCCGCGTGGTGTGTCAGGAGTGAGCGGTCTATCTGACAACAGTTAGATCACTTGCTCTCGGCCTCCAACAAGTGTCTTCAACAATTCGTGCTTCCTTCGTTGTTCGTTCTTGTACGAGTTAGTTTTAGGGTACCCTTTGTTTGTGTGCCAGCTTCTGCTGCCTTTTGTTTTTGATCCATTTTTCCTGACCTTTTTTTTTTTTTTGGGGTACTTTTTTGCCTTTGGGGACCGAGAGTAATTTCCTTCTCTTATTTTTAGGCACCTAATCCTAGACCGGTGTGTACCATTATGTTTGACTTCCAAGTATTTCAAGATTTGAGCTGTTTTATGTTTGAGGTTCCACTGTCTTAAGTACACTTTCGTTCACAAACATGCAGTTGGCCAGTAGCTTAACTTTTCTTTTTTTTCTCCTTTGATTCACAGATAAGCCCATCCTCCATTCCCCTTTGGACCGTCACCCACCCCAGCCTGATTTTTTTTTTTTTTTTTTTTTTTGGATCCCTTCAGCAGGAATGTGAAAGTTTTTGAATGCGTTTTGGAAGAACTCTTCCCTTTTCACAGGGCTCAATGCTGCACCGCTTGCACTGAAGACACCCCTTTCGACCACATCCCCTCTGCATGAGGAAAGTGCGGGGACAAGTGGACTGGATATCCCCGCACGCAGCGGTGACTCTTGACATGAAGCCAGCACCCAGAACCCCCCCTGCTCCTCCAAAAAAAAAAAAAGAATCCCCACCTCCATTTGCCATTTTTGTTCTTGTTTTTGGAATCATTTTGTATGAAGTGCCTTAAGAAGCAGTCCAACTCGTTGTGAAGTAATAACCCTCGTCGTCATCAATCATAACCACTTTTTCCATTTCTGCTTCTCCGGGGGCCTGCTCCGCTTCAGTCTGGCTTAACATTGCAGGACAAACTTGGAAACATCCCATGCCACCCCCCACCCCCAACAGACAGCGCTGCTGGAGTTTTTGTTTGTATTAAGAAAAGCCAGACTGTCCGTTATTTTGAGTTGTGAGCGTTTGCTTCAAGAAGAGCCCGACACTTTCCTCTCGTCTTCAGCAGCAGAGCAAAATTCGCATGATGGTGCAGTCAATCAACAACGAGAGTCCTGAGGATTCCTTAACCAGTGGAGATTTGTCGCTTTTTTTTTTTTTTGTGGTCCACCTTGCTCACCTTCCTATGGATGGCCGTACTTAACTCTGTGAGCCTGTGTATATATCTTCATTTTAAGATTCTTTTAAGAGAAGTTAACAAGAAGGCTGGCTGCAACACAATACCAACCCTCCTCACACGCATATACTTGTTGGCACTGGAGGGACCGTTTGAATAACTGCCTGTTGGCTTGTGACTTTATTTATAGTTTTAGAAATGGCAGAATGATTTAGAATCGAAAGCAAAAGACCCCCCTGTGCATGAAGTGCCATTGAGGCCAAGTGTCATAATTGAAAGTTGCACTTAAATTGATTAGTCATGCGTTTTTTGTTTTATGGCCAGCTTCGACGTGACAGATTGGACTGCATCGTCCGACTCGCTGCAATGCAGATTTGCTTGGTGGATGCTTTGGTTTCCCCTCCCGACCTGTTGCGTACGGACATACAAGGACGAAGGCAGCAGCCAATTTTGAGTTCAACGAGAATGTCGTGTGGAAAAGCATCAGTGACACATCTTACCTGGGGGGGGAAAAAATGTAGCAGGATTTCAAGCTGCACGACGACACGTCGAAAGAGAGAAAAAAAAAGCAACCCAGCACAGGTTGGCACTTAGAACGCACAGAGTTGAGTTCAGGCAATAACACGGACGGCTTTTTGTACCTGCTCTGCCAACACGAACAGGTTGCTCGGAGGAGATTCCTTAAAAACAAGAAAAATGAAGGGGAATGGCTCTGATGGATGACAAATGGCTTGGACTGCAAACTTGGACTGAGTTACTGGCTTATACTTCTGCCCTTTTGTTTGTGTGTTTGGTTATACGTCCTTATAAAAACCCGATTTTTGCACGAAAGCTCTTTGGAGCCTTCTTGGAAAGTTTGGGTTCCCTCTCGAGGCAAGATGTTCTTCGAACTGTTCTGACCAACAGCGACGCTTTCAAAATGTTCCTTTTTACGTCGTCGTTGCTTCAGAATGGCGATTTTCCCCTGCTCACTCGCGTCTCACATTGTCCCCTGAAGAGTTGACTCATGTAATTTGGCTAATTGGACAGGGTGGGAGGGAGGGAGTTCTTTGCGTTTGAAGAAAATATTCAAGCTAACCAAAAAAATAAAAAATACGAGTGAGCGAGCGAGTTGGGGGGGATCGAAACTTTGCAGACACTCGGCAGCCGTCTGCAGCCTGGCGACGTGTTGGCAGTACTCCAGCTTGTTTTAGTTTTCAAGGCGGGGTCCTACTGGACAAATGAATATGAAGGGATGCTGTCTACTGCCGGCGGTCGCCATGTTGAGAACCTTAGAGACTGAGACCCAAGCATCTTGCCAAACTCTTTAATTGGATCTGTTTAATAAACCAGTGTCTCATTCTTTAAGGTCATTTTAAATTGGGGGGGAGGGTGAATTGGCTTACTTGCTGCCCTGATGCACAGGAATCCTCCTTGATAGTATGACTAATTTAAAAGCAAACGACACGCCTTTTGTGTCCTATTCGACTCTGTCACTTTCTGTCCACGAGGATGCTGCTGATGCATTAGTACACTTGGGGGTGCACCTGTTTGCAAGTGAACGGAGAGGGGTCAAATTAAATGTTGCCCTGATTTACATTTTTTGTTTTTTGCCCCAAAAATTGTTCAAGTTTGGAAAACCCAAATTTTAAGTTTTTTTTTTTCTTTTCATAGAAATTTGGTCAGCATTCAATTGGCAGAAATTTCAGTGAAGCTAATTTTACAGAGTTGAGTTAAAGACAACACAAATGAAAATGTAATATTGGGCTTAAAAATTTAAAGTTTGGTTCAAAATAAAGCTCACTGAATTTATTTTTGGGTCTCTGTTTTTCTTTCTCTTTGAAGGCAAGCTAGCTTTGTTTAGCACGTTTCGTACCCACGACACTCAACGCGCTTCACTTTGAACCCTCCTTATCATGTTTTGTATACTTAAATTGAGCGACTTGTCTTCACTCATCACCGAATACTTCAATAACAAAATAGCCAACTAGGATGTTTTGTCAGAACAGACCCTTCTGCTTGCTAAACCCTACCCCAAAAGACATCACCGGGTACTTTTTTTGTTTTAACTTGCATGACTTAAAAATGTCGCAATTTGATCGCTTCAAACTTCGCTCTCATTGCAAAATACAAGAATTCGGATGGCATCGATGATCAACGTTACGAATGGCTTGTGATCAACTCGAATACGTAGTCATGGAAGGAGGTACGGTCTTTTGCCACCATACTTACTGTTGGGGCCAAGAATGGTGTTTCATGCGTTTGTTGTAGTGACGTGTCGGTCGCGAACGAGCCGGTACAAAGAGCCGGCTCTTTGAAGTGAACGATGGTTCACCGGCACCCTCCCTCGAGAGCCGGCACCTGTCATTCTATCTCTCTGTCTCTCTCTCTCTCTGTCTCTCTCTCTCTCTCTCTCTCTGTCACGTGTCTGAAGGGGGCAAGATTTGCTCCAGTGCTGCGCCAGTAGAGCTTCACACGTGCAAATTTTCTCCGGGGTAGCCCCGGAAAACAGCTTACACCGGAGCAAATTTGATCCACCTCAGGGAGGTGGTTTAAAATTTTGAAGCAAGGTTTGGCAGTGGCTCAGCTACCGTGGTCAGAGAGGTAGACCAGAAGAGAAAGGGGAGGGGCGAGGGACTTGTGCACGCTGAGCACATGCTTCGTCGCGTCTGCGCAGCCACAGACAGACACATACCTGTCAACTTGTACGTTTTGCCCGTATTTTATACGTTTTTTTTTTATCATTTCAAATCATGTACGGCGTATTACACTTTTTATACCGGTGAATCGTAATCATAAGGGCAGCGATTAGCCGAGGTTTACAGGTATGCAAAAGTATTTGACTTTCTCAGTTCCAACTCGTCCAGAGGATCATAAACACAACAAAAAAGACCAACATGGTGAGACAGCACCTGATAAAGGTACTAATTTTTTCGGTGGGACTGTACTTGTAAAGTTGAGAGCCACTTCAGTCGAAGGTTTGTCATTCCTATTGGTCACCAGTAGACGGCGCCCTTATGTTTCGTGAAGACCTTGTCAACACCGTCGACGACGGGCGCGAGCCTCTTGCGAGTTTGCGGTCGAATTTTACAATGATTCTTACTGCTGTTAGCTGACATTGGAAAGCGAAATCGGGTTTATTGTTTCCCCATGCCAAGGGCGGGCCCTCTGCTGGAGTTTGAGACCGAAATGTTTCTGACATGTTGATCGATATACAGTGAATACTTTGAGGGAGAAAAATTATCGGGGCCCTCAGAAAGTCATACGATGTTTCCTCCCCAATCTGAAACGAAGTTTGATTTCACCGCGATCCTTCGGGTTTTGCAGGTTCTTCAGCCCCCGTCCCCGTTGGGACCAGCAGAGAGCACCCCGCAAGCATCCAGACGAGACTTGCGTCTCAACTATTCCAGCGGAGTTGCCCTGATCAACAAAGCATCTTGAAACAATGAATAAAGTTGGCTTGCACGTTTTGTTAGTGTGCGTAATGGTGTTTTATTTGCACTTTATTCACGATCGCCAAGAACAGGGGTGTCAAACATATTGCCCGCGGGCCGCAAGGAGGTTTGATCAGGCCCGCAGGATAATTTAAAAGTGAAAAAATGCATGAAAGACACGGAATGAATATTTTTAATAAAGTGCAATTCATGGAATATCCGCTAGGAGGACACTGTTTTGATCAGAGGAAAAAACAACATTGTTTTGATCAGAGAAGAAGACAACAGCAGCCTCAGTCTGTCACTGAGACAGACCCAACACAGCAGATGCTATCAAGGACGTGAATACTTTATTCTTGACACATATTAAAGCACTCGCCTTAGTTTGTAAGGTTTAGGCAGGGATTACATTTAGATTATATATGCTCGTGTAAATGGTTTAAAGGTGCCTTAATTAAAAGACCATGTATAGTAAGACGTTTTAACCCGAAAAAAACGACCATGTATAGTAAAGCGTTTTTAGCCGAAAAAAACGACCATGTATAGTCAGGCCTTTTTCGCCGAAAAAAACAACCATGTATAGTAAGCCGTTTTTAGCCGAAAAAAACGACCATGTATAGTAAG